CATGTGGGGAGTTCCGCTTCTTTGGAAAGAGCCCTCCGCGAATCCGAAAAGCTGAACAAGGAACCTGCTTGTCCAATCCCCACACATCACGTTGCAACTTCGGATTAGCTCGGCCCAGCTGCCGCTGGTGCAGCTTCCACCCTCTGCAGGAGAACCGGCCAAAAGCCTCAGGAGGGAGGACGGCAGATGACTTAAAAGAAAGAGGAACGCTAAGAGGTGCCAAGCTTTGGGAGGCAGAGGGTTGAGATGGTGGAAGAGCATCTCAACATTCCAGGGGCCTTGAAGTGATGGGTTCTAGGGCTTATACTCGCTCTGCCAAGCAATCGAACAGGAGTCTCACAACAAAGCATATGGCTCGCTCCAACCAAAACGACCACCAAGCTTCTTGTCAGCCGTCCCGGCTCAAATGGTTGCAGCAGAGCGCTCTGCACAAGGAGCCTGGCGCCAAGACAAAGAAAGAGATTCGGAGAGACAGGGTCGAGAACAGCAGCTGAGCTGGTCAAACGCAGTCACCCCGCAACGTCTTACATTGCAGAACGAAAGAGCCTGTGCACAAAGAGGAGTAAGGAGTGATCAACAAAAGGGACTCTGGTGCTTTCCGAAAACATTACCCTCAGGCACGTCTCTGCTGATGAAAAGATGTCTCCGTCATTATCATCATCATCATACTAGTCGTCGTAGTAGGAGCAGGAGTAGGAGTAGGAGTCGTCGTCGTCGTCCTTGTCCTCGTCGTCGTCGTCCTCCTCCTCCTCGTCGTCGTCGTCGTGGTCGTGGTCGTCGTCGTCGTCGTTCGTCGTCGCCGTAGGCGTAGTTAGTATTGGCATTACTCGCAGCAGCAGCAATAGCAGTAGCAGCCGTAGCAAGGGCAGGAGCAGGAGCAGGAGCAGCAGCAGAAGTCGGAGTCGGAGAAGGAGTAGGACGAGTAGGAGTAGGAGCAGGAGGACAAGAAGAAGTAGTAAGAGGAGGAGGAGGAGGAGAAGGAGCATGAGGAGGAGGAGGAGGAGCAGCAGCAGCAGTAGTAGTACCAGCAGCAGCAGAAGCAACAGCAGCAGCTAGTACTAGTACTAGTACTAGTACTAGTAGTACTAGTACTAGTACTAGTCGTAGTCGTCCTAGTAGTAGTAGTAGTAGTAGTAGTAGTATTGCATTGCGGACGTCGCACCGTCTGAAGTGCTGGACGAATCAGGGACAGGTGCTTCAAGCACTCGGCCAATCGAGATGGCACTGCTCTGTTGGCAGCTCCCTCAAGTCATACAACTCATAAGCGCATCAAAATTTTGGAGCAGAAATCCCAAGCAGAAAGAGCTCAGGAGTACATCAATCCATCATGTGCAGACTAGATCCCGCCTCTGATAGAGGCACATTGTGGGACCCTGTGATCACTGAAGCACTTCCAGTCATCTTGGCAGTCGCTCCACCAGTGACCGAAATCAACTCGAAATCCGCAGAAGATTCCTCAGAGGAGCCTTCCGACAAGACCTCTATAGCCTCAGCGCCCGTGCTATACAATGGATTGCTCTCAGTAGAAGCAGCTGCAGCATCTTGCCCTGGGTCGCCCATGAGGATACTCTGGGCAGGCATCTGGTCCGACGAGGTGGCCATCTCTGCCATCGAAAGCGCACCAGTTGCAGCCAGACACGGCTCCGGCGCCGAGTGGTGGTCATTGCCCGTCACCACATAGGCCAGGTCTTGACGCCTTTGGCAGGTGCTTGTATGAAAGCGTCCGCCAGACTGAACACAGTCAGTGCAGCAATGCACGTGACTGTATCCTGCGATACGTCTGCAACCAGTGGTCACACATTCGCTGATTCGACCTCGAAGCGGCATGAGTTGTACCTTCCTCCAGTCCTTATCACAGCGAACTGTATGATGACCAACAGTACACAGTCCGCAGCAGTGCTTGTGTGAGCCTTTACGATAGCGTCGCACACATCCCTCCATTTGGCATGCAAACAATGGAGGATCACACTGACGTCCACCTCGAAAGTCAGCTCCTGGCTCATTACGATCCCGGTCGCCTCCACGCCTTCTGTGACGCCTTGCGTCACCATGGTTCGTCCACTCATTGGAGCGCAGAGGCCTTGAGGAGGCTGGCGCGAGTCCCGCGGCCAGCGAAGACTCCATGTCAGGACCTGAGTCACAGCACAAGTGGCAACGACTTCAAGCGTAGCGACATGCAAGGTTCGCTCAGCAGACGAGCGAGCCGGGTGCAGGCGTCTGCACTGTCCGCGCGCAAGCTTTTAGCCGCTGAGTGGCAGTGTCATTGTCAGTACGCGGCTCAGGGCACACCATACCGATGCAGGTCTCCCGTGCAAGCACTCAAACTAAACTGCAAGTCAGGTACAGCGGGGCCGGGCAGTTCCTTAATCGGGAATGATTATAAGGGCTCAGCAGCTGTTAGCGCGGGAGGCCTGACCTGAAGTCGTGTGCAGGAGCGTCCCCACTCGTGAGCAATCAACCCCAAAGAACCCCAAGAGGAATGCCGATCCCAGCCCTGTGCACCCTAGTTACATGAATAATGTGAGCAGCATCCAGAACTTCAACCAGGGGGCTAGACCTAACTACAGACAGGGATGGGGCAAGTGGCATTATGTCAACCATACTACTAACAAGCAAGACAGCGGCCAGCGGCTAGCAGCCATCACGGCGCTTGGCGCTTAGCGCTCATTGTATACTAGTCAGCATGGTCTTAAGAACTACTCGCCGGACAATGTTATGGTACATCCGCCTCTGGCTCACTCTTCGCATCAGGCTCATGATCAAGGTCTGGGGTGGAGCCGTGGACACGACCCTCATCACGCCGTGGCAAAACAAAACCAGCCTCTTCCAGTATGCTGCCATAACGCTGCACCGCACAGGCATGCTGCCGAGCAACATAGGCAATAAGCACGACACGGTCGCCATTGCTCCAAGGCAGCGTTGCGTGATAGTGCTTCTGAGCATGGAACAGGCTGGCCACAGCTTGAGTGTTGTGCGCACTACCGCGGATCAGGCCGTCTCGGTGGTGTTCCATATAGATACTGCCCCTCGGATCCTCGATCCAGAGTTGTCCTTGATCATAATGAGATAAGCCGATTTGCAGGCTTTGAAGGTGCTCCTCCGAGGCATTGCATTGGTCCTTGTGGACCTCTGTGTTGCAATTCATGTTGACAGACAAGCTGGTCCAACAATGCGTGCCCAGCGTAGCAATGACCAACGTGTTGAGCAGCTGACATACGGCTTTGTGGCTCTTGGTCTCGCTGGTGAGGCCAACAAGGCCACCTTTATTGTACAGCCCCAGCCGGAAGATGTAGCCATCGGCTATGATGCGGCGATCGGCTGCATAACCAAGGTCGCGTATGACTTCACGACTTCACGCACTGCAGACCAAAGGGAGCACGTGCCCTCCATGAGGAAAGCATGGGCAAGCGCCTCCGCGCGACTTGCCCCACGGCACAGCTCAATGCTGGGCAGCGGCAGCTTCACCAACACATCAGCATGCAGACTCTGCGCCAGTTCATCAGCATAGGGTATGAAAACCGACAGCTCGGGTTCCGCAAGAAGATGCATAGCCGCATACACCAGCTCGTTGCGCGTGTATAAGGCAAAGCTCGGGTCAAGCTGCCGCGGCTGGTAAAGATTTCGAAGAGCCTGCAGAAGAAGCGCCTCCTCCAGTGCAGCGTATTGAAGATGACGCGGCAGCTCAATGCTCAGCACCGCCATGTCAAACCCTAGCCTAGGCACCCCACCTAGGGCCCGGAAGCCGACCTAGACAACCGGGCAGGAAACTACAAAGCTGAGCAGAGCCGCGCGCATTAAAAAGAGGCATTCGAGCACAGCAAGCAGCGCTGTCACAGGAGCATCAGGGAACTGAGACACCGGCAGAGAAACCGTGCACCCTGCACGGATAGCAAGAGACCGACCTAGGTCTCCGCTCCCTCTTGAGCCAACTGGTGGCCAGAGTGATCCAGGCTCAGTTCAAGCTGCACTCAACTGTGACAGTGCGCATTGGAGAAAGAAAACACAGATGGAAACTGTCATCATACATGGGTGTCAGCCGCACAGCCAAAGGCAGTTTTGAACTCGACTGGCAGCAGTCGATGAACGCTTCGGCCGACGACTGCTTCAAGGATGCAGGGGAGTTTCGGAACTGCGGGGCCCCCTGCCACCCCTGTGTGTCATTAAGGGCATCGCAGAAGCCCCACCAGGTAGGCATTATGGTCTACCAGGGAGAGATCTTTATTAGTGGCCTTCCGAGGTTTGCGATTGTCGTCACACACATACAATGTCCAGTCATTGTCGGCAGGCACCCCTAAGAGGGTTTGGTAGTGTCCACTAGTGACTGTGGGGCCTAGGTGAAAGACCACTGCAATTACCCGAAAAGGCTCTAATCTTGTGCAGGCATCGCCACCCTCAGTGAAAACAGGCAGGGCCACCACTGTGCCTGGCCGTACAGCAAGGTACTGCTGATTCTTGGCAGTGTGGGAGCTGTAGCGACATATCTGCAAGAACAGGCATCCGGTATGTTGTGTGAGGGCATGTACAGCATATTGACCATGCCACGCATCTATCAGGCCCTGAAGCGATTCGCCTGGCAGCGTCAGCAGTAGTGGGCAGCCGGGGTCACCTGAGTCATGAACACGATATGGATTAGTGAGTCGGGCTTCCCAGTGCCACTTGCAAGCCCCCGGCTGGGCGATTGCAAGTAAGTGCAGCAGGAATTCACCTGCGTCATGTTGCGTGTGGAGATGGCGCCATCCCAAGAACAGTGCACGAAGGGCAATCAATGCAATTGGGCAGAGAGATGTCTTGCGCTGCACGAAGGATCCTTAAGCCAGCCTGCAAGGCTCCATAGCATGCGGAGGGAGAGGTGGAAACCTCACCAATCCAGTACAACGCTTGGCAGACTGAGTTACAGTAGCAAAGTGCTGTACGGTTATGCAATTTAGCAACCGGAAGTTTAAGGCGAGAAGCGCCTTCGGATAGCCACACGACCTCATGTGTGGCAACAGCGCGCCGACCTAGGCGTCGCTGTTCCAGGGCGCACTGCTCTTCGCCCAATCGCAGAACGCTGTCCCCATGTAGGACTCTTTGAGCTGCTTGATCAGCTGCGGCTCCTGCCCTCGTTCCGGTCGGATACGAACGCCAATCAGCTTCATGAACGCTGAGCCGCTCAAGATTTTGAGAGCATTGTAGCAAATGTTGCTCGACTCTCCCCGAAGACCTATCGACACCATCCAAGGAAGAACCTCGGCCGCGTAGCTGTCCTTCGCCGACATTCGGCGGGCCGTTTTGAAGTTCTTCAGCGCCCCATCCTGGGGCGCATGGTGAAGCAGCAGGTCCACCTGTCGAAGCGCTTCCGCATGCGCCAGCGGCGGTGCCTCCGAAACGATCTGCTTCTTGGCACTCGGATCCCATGAGTGATACACCCATGCCGGACTCAGGGCGTTTGGGCCCTCGACTGTCCATCCAACACTCATGCAACGTTGGAGCATGGTCTCGTCCTTGAGAAGCTCTTCGGCCTTGGTCTTGAGCAGCTGGAGCATCGTCATGAAGAGAACCAGGCGGAGTGGGCTCTTCACGGTGTCCTGGGAGAACTGGTTCTGCCAGTTGTCGGCAGTCTGTCTCAGCGTCGGGAGGCAGCCGAGGCCTGAAATATCGATGAAGGCCATGTAGCCGACGTCCGTCTTGAGCCGCTGTATCTCTGCTTCGTGCCTCAAGACCACACGAACCATTCCCCCTAGGAGATCCTGCGTGGCTCGATCCAGCTGGGGCATCTGGTCCGAAGAGGAGCTGTCCCTGTGGGCTTCCCACTGACGCTTGTGACCACCCCAGCCGCTGCTCCACCCTCCGTGCTGAGCCCCCTTCCCTCCCTTTAAGGAGGGCTTCGGCCATTTGCGACGATTTTCGTCGTCCTCTTCCGTCTCCTTCTCCTTCTCGCCCGAGGAGCATCTCCTCCCTCGCGGCCTTCGCACGGGCTGCCTCCTCCGCGTCGACATCCATTGTCGTCATGTGCCTGCGCAATGACGAGAGCTGCTAACGAGGCTTGATAAAGAACTGTGCAGTGCTTCAGGTGCCTGCCTGGCTGCTTGACAGCGGCGCCGCAGTAGCTACAGACACTCACCGAACGTAAGCCCGCACTGCAGCATTTAGATATGGCGGCATCGTGAAGTGCCCATTCCTGTGGATGCATAAGGCGATGGTGCTGCTTGACTCGAGCGCTCCACTGCCCGCACAACACACAATAGGCCGATAATTTTGCACGCAAGGCTTCGCTCTGTAGCGGTAACCTCCAGTGCTGGGCAGACTGGGCACGAAAAAGAGGTTGGTGTACCAACGCAGCATCTGTAGTGCTATACGGGGCAGGCGTTGACGGCACATCACTAGGTAGGACGGCCTGAGGAGCCCGGCACGTATGCCCCAGCAACTCCTCCCGTGCTTCAGGGACCTGATCTGAAGGCACGGCGACCGTCCCACCCGTTTCACATTCAGATGTCTTACCAACAGCAACACAACCCCTTTTTAGATGCTTCTTAAGTCCCTCAACACGAGTAAATCTCGTCCGGCAGTGTTTACATGTTGGCATGCCATCAACGCCGCCGGCAACATACTGATCCGCGGCAAGAACACCAAGCTGGCTCTTAGACTGCTTGACATTATGACTTCGAGCTCGATGAGATCGCATGATACGCGAGTTAAGGAAGTACTGACCACAATCAGGGCAGGGTACACCAGTGCTGTAATCATCTGCTTCGGGCGCAGGCACGTGAGCCTGCACAACAACAGACTCCAGAGCATCAAGCTTGGCGCGGAACCAGGCTTTGGCGTCGGGATCAGCACTCTTGACAATCCTACGCTGAAGAGTGCTGCGCAACGTTTGCAACGGGTCAGTTGCCTCTAGCCGCCGTCTCAAGTGGATGGTGCTTTCACGAGAAAGGAAGGCTGGCGAACGAGATAAAGCCCTAAGGGAGCGATTGTCAAATTGCACTAGTCGTCTGGCGACCGCTGGTGTGATACCAACTGCATGCAATCCGTATAGTAAACTGCTGCGAACGCAGGCAGTGTACAACCTGACCCGCTGTCTCAGACGCAGTCGGCGACTGCGAAGCACTCTACCAAGGCGATGCTTGCAGGCCAGAGCAGCTTGCTGACGATGTGCAAATGTTTGTTGCTCAAAAGCAGTATACGAGGCCACGACGCCTAAGTACACTATGCAGTGAACACGAGGAATATCGATGGGTGCGTGCGGCGTTCCAAGCCTTCCAAGCTGAAGAACAGGGCCCTGGGCCGTACGCTTAGTGTGCGCTTTAAGCCAGCGTCGAGCTGCTCCCCTTCGAAGCTTCAGGATGATACGGGACTTGTCCATATTTAAGGTCATCCCAAATTCTTTGAAAGTCAGAAAAGTAGCCCTGATACACTTGATCATAAATTTCAAGTCTGACATGCTGTTGATAGTCCAGGCAAAGTGGGAATCATCCGCAAACAGCGTTGCCGCCTGCGCGGCCCAAGCTTCCGAAGTGCGACTTACCAACACATCGTAAATGTGACATGTGTACAGGGTAAACAAGAGAGGACTAAGAGCGCAACCCTGTCGGACACCTTTCCGCATTGGAAAGGTGCCAGACTGTCGTTTGTGCGTCACTGTGTAAACACACTGTTCATGGAGTGCAACAATGAGGTGTTGAAGCTCGGTCGGCACTCCAGCGTGTTGCAACGAGTCACGCAAGGCTGCACGCGGCACTTCGTCGAAAGCTCGACTGAGGTCAAGGCTCATCATGGCTCCACCGCTGCAGGTACTATAGCTGTGTTGAGCTCTTCGATCGTGAACTGTAGGATTGGTATGCTTCAACTGCTCCCTAATGGCATAGCAATGTGCCATGACGCGAGAGATGGCACAATCGATGGCCTTGCCGGTTATGTACGCGTACTGCGGTTTGGAGTTGACGAAATCACTGACATAATGCTGTAGGCGTTCTCGAACCGCTATAGCCACTATTTTGGAGCTGGGTTCCTGCAACCCCAACGGTCTGAGGTCAGATGGGAGTTTACTGGTCTTATGAGGCTTGGGAAGTAGTGACAACACGCAGTTCGTGACTTCACCCGGCAGCTGAACAGGGAGCTGGCAGGCTCGGTTTAAAATACCTGTCAGGTGCGTGGCATATGCCTCTGGACACAAGCTCCATACCTCTGCCGGAGCACTTGTGGGCGGCACGGCTTTGCTTAGTTTAAGACCACCTATGGCACGAAGGATTTCTGCGTGATTGAACAACACCGGGGAGGCATCCATGCATGTAGGGGCTTCCTCACCATCAAACGCGCTGCGAAAGTATGTTAGGATAGCTTGAAACTCTGCATGCGGGCCCAGAAGTGCTCCGTCGCTTCCACGTATGCGGACTTTGTCAAAGCGCTTGCGAGGTGCGAGCTTATTGACGACCCTGTAAACAGCACCTAGGTCATTGCGCGAGGCTGCGGCCTCAGCTTCCTGTACGTACCCCTCAAACCATTGCCTGCGCGCCTCTTTGCTAGCGTTACGAAGCTCGCGACCTCGTCGCTGACATGCGGCAGACAGTCGCCAGGCAGCGAATACACCCCGTAGCGTACAGGCACTTCGATTCGCTTGAAGGGCCTGTTTGGCCGCCTTCATGGCCTGGATACTACGAATAACAGCTGGCTGAGTGGAAGGCTTGTTGGCAGCATGCTTGACCGGCGGGTACAGGCGAGCACAGTGCATGAGCATCTGTTGATTAAGATAGCTAAGGCTGGTAGACGGGTTGGCATGCTGAAGAGTGTGGAGCACCCACGCTTGGCAATTCCTGAGCCCTGACATCCCACTGTTTAACAGACTGCCGCAGCTGTGGTAGGGAAAACTTAGGGGTGGAGGTCTGGTGTCGATGAAAGGTCCAGCCGGCCTTCCACGGAATACTGGCGATGACTGCTCGGTGCTTTGCACCCCCTCTCCACGGAGCAAGGTCGAAATCCACAGGTTTGCAGACACGCGCTACCCTATCAGCAGTAGGCCTACGCATTGCGATGAAATCTATCTGACTGGAGACAGAGTCATGCTTAAAGGTACGACTGGCAGCGACGTTGGATCGACCCCACGTGTTTAGCAGGACAAGTTGATGCTCGACTAAGAGGGTTTCAAATTCAGCATCAGGGGCATGGGTTGTGGGCAGTGTGCCTCGGCCAACTAGTCCAGAAACAGGCTTACAGTGAGTATTAAAATCTGCACCAACAACGACAAGATTCCTGGTGGGCAGCCCATGCAATAGCGCGCCAAGCTGCGTCCAGAACGAGCTACGCCGCTCTTGCGTTGACCTCGCACCTGTCGCAGATCGCACCCATTGATAGCCAGCTACTATGTCCAGCGTCTTCTTTTCGTCTGTACATCGAACATGTAGAAGACGACCCGGTATGATAGTAAATTGACAAGATCTGGTGACACCACCTTTGTGGAGATGGCCACGCCAACTCCGGAAAACCTATGCGTTGCGTCGGCGCTAACCACGATTAGCCAACCAGGGATCTGCCAGGTGCTTTCAGCGCGGCCGCACCCCCAATGAAGTTCTTGTAGTATTAGTACATCGTCTTGACATTCCGTAGTAAGCCAATGATGCAAGTAGTCATACACCGCGCTGGTGATGCCTCCCACGTTGTAGCTTCGGATGCGGAGTCGAGGGGCCTTGCTTTTAGCAGTCAGATTTTGCGCTGATCGAGGTCTAGCAACTGCAGCGTCCGGATTCTGCATCGTAGTTCCAAGCGACTCTGCGCTCATCCAGCGCCCCCTGTACAAAGTACCTCCGGTTTGCTCTGCTCTTCTGCGCGCTCTGCGATACGCACGTTTCCGTATCTCCGACTGCTGAGTTGCACGACCAGTACTAGAACCAGTTGTTTTCGCCGCACCAGATGGTACGGCTTCCGAGCTCCGGGTGGTAAGGAGCCCAACCCTCGGGTCTACGGGACGCTCGCCTCTCCTCAGAAGCTGCTGTGCTGACATGTCCCGCTGCGGGATTTGGGACCCGCACAGCTGAAGCTCGACAGGTGATTCCAGACGGGCCAGAAATGGATAAATGCACAGTAATGCCAGCAAAACGCCAACCATGTCACCAACGCGAGACCCTTTCTACCTGTTGCCTTCGCTCCAGCCGAGACCCTTAGTAGTAGTAGTAGTCGTCGTCGTCGTCGTAGTAGTCGTCGTGGTCGTCGTGGTCGTCGTCGTCGTCGTCGTATTGCAGGGCAACCGTCGCACAAGATCCGAGTGCTTGACGAGGGAGGGCAGTAGTGCTTGGTGCACATACCGGCCGTTCTGTGACGGCGACATTGGTTTCAATGCCCATCTTTTAGCTGCCAACAAATCGAGCTTATCAAGCTCAGAAACTCGATCCACAGTCCTTTGATGTCCCTCCACGGTCTCCATCCGAACTTCGTCGTGCGAGTCGACAATTTCAATCAAAATTGGCTTCTCTCCGTCCTGATTCTCGCTGGAAGCTACAGAAATGTCGTGGTTGGCCGCTGAAGCGCCGTCCGTAGTAGTCCATCCGCTAGCTCCAGAAGAAGAAGCACTGCTGTTGGCGAGGGCCGATGATCCCACATGGAGCTGGTTCCCCCTGTGACCTCGAGAGCCTGCTGCGACAGCCGCATTGCTGTAGTAGCTGGTTGTTGGCACTTGAGGTGGGCCGCCAGATCCCCTGCAGCTGCCGGTGGTGCAGGCATATTGTCAGCACCTTGCACATGAAGAAACTGTAGAACAGGCCGCGAGGCGCCCCCGCGAGGCTCGCTCCTGAGCGAGGCGCTGCCTGCGACAAAGCCTGTGCCAGTCCAGGCCACACCTTTCCGTGTGACTTCCAACTGAGCAAATAGAACAGCCGTGACGGTGGGAGCTCCTCAAATATTCACGCAAACAGCCGGGAACTTCGCACATCCTTCCCCTCCGCGGCAAAATGACTGAAGGATCATTGCCACTGCCAGATGGGCGATTCCTTCTGTTACGGCCCGCACCGGCTGCCGCTGTTGAGTGTCCCGCCGAGTCGAAAACAAAGCGGAAGCCATCGGCGCCGCCAAGGGTGCCGCCATCGCACATGACCTGAGCACAAAGAGGTGCACGAGCTGAAAAAGGAAAGCAGTCTCTTGCATTTGCACCGGCTGTGCTGCGCTTCTTCGAGCGATAGCTTGCACGCCTACCCCTTGGCATGCGTCGTGCGGAAACTGGCGAAGCAGGTTACGTCATTAGATACCCTGCGAGTGGCACCGATGTATGTACAGAGTTATCGGCACGTGTAGCCTGAAGAATGGCACGCATGCTTTGCTGCCCAGAACGAGGCACTGTGCCTGAAGAGTCACAGAGTGGCTTGTCTTCAGGCGGCACAAACCCCGCGTCGTCGTCGTCGTCGTAGTAGCAGTAGTAGTTGTCGTCGTCGTAGTAGTGCTTCACTTCACTTCACTTCACACGCAGCAGAGAGAGTTCGTCCGCTAAGCGAAAAGGCACGCAGTGTTTGCGCGGCAGCCTTGCTGCATGGCTTGTTGCCACCCATCCACATGACTTAGCCGCTCCTGAGAGCCTATGTGCACTAAGCCATAAACTGTTCTACGCAGAGGCCTATGCACCAAAACTGGCTATCGACATGATGGCCGGAGGAAGATGATGTAGACATTGCGAAGTAAGGGAGAGGCCTCATCCTTCCTAGGAGGTCTAGCAGGGACACCATCATCCGTCCACCACATCTTGCCCGTACTCTCAATTAAGAGAGTCCGGTAGTGCCCGCTGTGGGGCGTGGAACCTAGGTGAACTAGTGCAGCACTGATGCGGTACTCTCGTTGCCTGAGGAAACCTTCCACCCAGCAGGGGAGGCGAATCGTACTTGGTAAGGAAACTAGAGTGGAGAGTTTGTGTACTGCACGGTCCACCACAGTAAAACGATTCAGCTGGATGGCCACACAAGCAGTACCTGCATGAAGGGCTGGCTGAGAGGCTGCTGACTGCCAATGTTGAACTACACTTTGTAGTGGGCAGATGCCCCTGTGCAACGGCAGGTCTTGAAGATCACACTGAAGCACCAAAGGACTGACTCCTCCACAATCCCTTAAGCTTCCCTCACTCATGATGGACCAACTACCCTGAAAATGGGTGAATTGAGCAGCCTGTGCAAAATGCTGGAGGAAGTCTGCTGCATCCTGCTGCCTGCCGTTATGTGGCCAGCGGCGCAAACATCTCTGGATGAGTGGTCTACTCCATACATGCTGCGGGGCTGAGGATCTTAACAGTGCCTGCAGATCATCATGTAGAGATTGCCTCATGCTTGCCTCGGATGGGTTATGGAGGGCAGAAGTCCACAGGACTGCAAGCAGCACAGAGTTTGCATAGCATTCATTGCCCTGATTCAGGAGTTTAGCCCTTCTAATGTTGAGACTAGTGACTAGTGGCAACTGACGAATCTCCTGTGCTACTGACTGTGCCAATTGTGACCTGATGCATTGCTTTGTAGGGTCTCCAAGATACTCCACATTCTGAACGACTTCGGTTCGCGAAGCCCGAGCACTAGAGAGAACGTTACCGTGGGTCCCGCCATCTCCTCCTGAAGGCGGCGATTCGCATGATAGTTCACCAGCACCGCTTCCTGAGTCACCAGAATGATCGCCTCGTTGAGGAGGGTGAGAACCTCCTTGAGTGTCAGAGGCGCCCGATCCGGAATGTTCTCGAGAGCACGGTGGGTAGCATTCCACTTTTTGTAAGGGAACAGATCCGGTTCCGCCATCGCCTGAAGACCCAGTGCTTGCTGTTTGCTGGCCTGGTCCCGTGTGATGGCTTCCAAACGACCCTTCAATTCGGCAGCCCACTTTTGGAACAATATGGTCCTCAACGGCTGACGGATGGATTCTGGCGAGTCGCGTTTCATGCGATGCCATTCCTGTCCCAGGCGCGCTTGGGCTGCTACCGCTGACAGGGGAGGTGCGGTCCCCTCGAAGAGAACCCAGAAGGTTGACTGGGAGAGCCCCGTGATGAAATCTTCGTGGCGCAATAACAGTTGCGCCATCTTGCCCACCAGAGCCTCCGAAGCCCGCTTGTTCCAATGTGGATTGTCTGAGCCTCGTGGGGGTTCTGGTTGCTGCGCCCTGCTGGTTGGCTGAAATGGACGCCTTTGTCCACGGCCTGTCATCTCCTGGGATTTCGTGGGTTTGTCCTGTCCCTTCCTTCCCTCCGGTCCCTTCCCTGTGCGGCGAGTGTACATGTTCGGATGGGTCACTGGGTCGTCCATGGATCTGGTGGGAGTTGCCATCGTGGAGGCTGCCGAGGGGGTGAGGGGAACCTCCAAGATCGGAGAACGGTTGGTGTCCATCTGTTGGCGAGCCTGTCGTGTCTGGTTCGGGGCTGCTGCGAACTCGGCTCCCTGGAGCGCTAGCGAGTTCGGCTGCAGCTTCCTGCAGCTCCTCCCTGGAGATGCCCTCGAGGTCCATGTTGCAGTAAAAGTTGCAGTTGCTTGGTTTCGTAGCTCCTGAGACTTGGTCGCAGTAGCGGCACTTGGTGCTTAACGCCAGGCTGCGGCGATGCTTGGCCGTATGGTCCCGTGCTTGCTGTAGTGCTTCAACAGCCCATGGATGAAATGCCTTGAAGTGCAGAGCAATACCCCTCGCCTGCACCAGACCTTGCCCACATATGGGACAATATCTGTAGCTCCTAGGGTGTTTGCTCTTAAGGTAGACTGCAACCGCCTCCCACCCAGATGCAACTAGCGACCCGAGGTGCTGATCCCAGTAGCAACCTAACGATGAATCATCAAATGGGGGGAAGACTGGATCTCTGGCATTGGGGAACAAGACGCTACAGGCTTTGGTGAAGATGTGAACCTTTAGATCATCCCAACTGTGACACTCTCTCCGACAATGACTGAGAGTGCAGCTGAACCTGGCGTCGGCTCTGCATGTAAGGAGGGAGGGTGCCTCCCGAATGAGTGCGGGGAGCGGGGTGTTGCAGCTGAGCTTCAGGTAGTGATTCTTCAGCCAGCATCTGCACTTTTGCCAGTTCAGCCTTTTCCTGTTTGTGGGCATGAGCCTCGTGATTACGGAGGGCACCTAAAGAGTCAAAGGTGCGGTGACAGACTCCACATGTGAGGCTTCGCGGGGCATGAACATCGCGATTGCCTTGCTGGAGGTCTTGATTTGCAAGATCCGGATAGGTGTGGGATGATAGTGCTGGTTGGGGATATCCTGAGGGGGAGTCGCATGAGGCGGTGAACGTGGTGTTCAAGGTGGTCATCCAGTGCTGAATTCCCACAACCTGGTACAGCAGAGCTGGCCTAGTCGCCAGAGCAGTGTACTGTCTGCATAGAATGCTCCACGGGTCCTCAACCTGCACACGACGGTAGATTTCTTCTGTAGTCGTGTGCCAAATGTGGGCCGGAGATCTGGCAATCAAACGGAGCTGGCGATTGACTGCCTGACGAATCATGGTGGGCCCCTGTTGCGGGAGACCCATGCTATGCAGGGAGTATCTGAGGATGCTAAAGACACAGGCTTGCCATAGTCTCACTCGAGTTTTCAAGCTCAAGGCCCGATTTATGAGGAGATGATGCAGGCGCCAGAAGCTGCCCCATGCTTTCTGCAGTCTGTTCTTTAGATTCAGTAGCTCAAAATTGCGATATGTAATTACAGCTTCCAGGTACACATGGGATGTGGCAATTTTGAAAAACATACGCTCCACTCCTATTCGGATCTCAAGGTGCGGGGTCTGGTCAATGAGCCGCTTGACCTTCTGCAAGATGGAAGTGGCGCTGGTGCCTATCGTCGCCAATAGGATGACTGTTTTGTCTTGGCTCAGAGTGAGGCCTACCTTTTGAAGGGTTTGCACTAGAACTCCTATGGCTCTCAAGGCCAGCTTAAATTCCCCTGGGGTTTTGAAAAGCCAGCTACCGAAGACGTCATCAGCAAACATGTTTGTTAGGCCCTCTGGCAAGTTCTGCTGCTGAAGAGATTCTCGATACAACTTGTAAAAACACCCAGTGGATAAGGCCCACAACAGTGGCGACAAGGAGCACCCTTGCCTGACACCGGTGCCCAAGTACACATCAGAGGTCTGATCAGATTGTCCAATCTGGAGACAGGCTTGACTATGGAGATGAAGAATCAAGTCCACTTCTGACTGAATGAATTCTGCATCTATCATGGATTCCTGCAGAAAAGAATGGCTCAGACTATCGAAGGCCTTTTTTACATCCAAGCTGATGGATATGCCTCCTAGCATACGTGGGCGCTTGGTGCCAAGAAATCTCTGTGGCAATGTGCTAGCATGAGCCTGCATCAGGCTTCTCACTTGGCTCATGTGCACACATACCGACAACAGTGCATCATGGGTAGACCGGCCGGGGAGATAGGCCCACTGAGGCACAAATTCAAGATATCTGGCTACCTTGTGTTGCACCTGCCTGGCAATCATAGAGGCTAGCAGTTTGTTGCCTGGGTGTAGCAACGTTATTGGGCGGAGGTGCTTAGGTTCCTTAACATGTTGTATTTTCGGGATGAGATGAAGCTGAACCTTGTGCCACGCCGCCTCTAAGCTGGAGGCCTCCAGATTCATGCTCGGAAGGAGCATGCTGACGACCTGCTCGGGTATTAGTTTCCAGAGCCGAGCTGGCATGAACTCCGATGGCAGTGCTTTGGATGGTTCAAGTCGGCTGAGTGCTTGAAGGAGATCCTCGGGCGTGAAGCACATACCATGGCTGGCAGGGGCAGGGGGTGCTGCCAGAACATCACTGCTGTGATAGACTGTCCTCAGGAAGGAGGCTATGTGGTCTGTTTCCTCTTGACTGCCAGTAGTCGCGAAGCTGTATGCGCTGTGTGCGAGATTTGGGCGCTAGCTTCTTTACCACACTGAAGATGGCAGATGGAAAGCGGGATTGCTCAGCTTCTCGTAATAGGGTCTCCACTCGTTCTTTTTTCCTAGCTCTACAAGCCTTTTTGAGCTCTCTTTGCACTCGGGCGAGCTTTACGTCATGTAGCCAACCTCTGAGGACCGAGTAGGTCCGAGGAGTTTGCCTGTGGTGGCGTCGTAGAGCCCACAATTCCCGCGCTAAACCGATAGCTGCATGCTCTGGTGCTTCGGCTCTGGCCTGATATGGTGAACTGACTTCATGCCAGGCTTGTTGCATGACTCTATTGAGGATCGCTGCAGGATCTCCGCGGTAATGGGGCGGTTGCAGCTCAACTACTCTTTTCCGAAAGCGATCCACAAGCTCAGGGTCCTGCTGCAGTCTTTGGGGCACGGTGGAGGCTTTGCAAGTGGCACGACGAGGGCACCTGGAGCGTGGCTCACTCGGCATTGGCAGTGTGATAAACAGAGGCAGGTGTCTCATGCCGTGGCAGGCACAAAGGGTGCTTGCACTGTTTTGGCTGATTTCGCCAGATTGTCCGTATGTGGAGATCGAAAGAGCAGAAAGTCTATCTGCGTACTATGTGTTTTGTCTTTGTGCTCAAACCTGTAAGTGTGGCTGTGTTTGATCCGTCCCCATGTGTTGAGGGCAATGAGGTTGTGCTGGGACAAGAGCTCTTGAAGTCTGGGCTGATCTGTTTGCCTGATGCTGCCAGTGATGGGCGCTACTCCGTGCCCGACAAAAGGGGGCTGGGTGACACAGGGAGTATTCATGTCTCCAGCCACAAGTAGTTGGGCTCGCCATGGTACACTTCGTAGGGCAGTTGAGAGTTGTGTCCAGAACACTTCTCGCGAGGCCAGGCATTCATCCTGTCCAGCTTGCTCGGACCAAACATGCTGGTAGGTAGCAACAACATAGATAGCTGGGGAGGTCTCCAGCCTAGCGAGCAGAAGTCTACCCGGGATGTACGCAGTTGAACGAATTGCCTGGGCATTGACTAGTCCCTTATGCACAAGCAACAGGATACCTCCCTTGCGATTGCTAAGGCCTGAATGAATGACATTGTATGAAGGCAACTCCCACTCGGAGTCGAAACTCCAGTGGGTTTCGGTCAGGACACAGACATGTGCTGGGGAGCCTCGGGCGTGACACTGCTCGAGCCACGTCTCGATTTCCAGCAGCTTGGCGACCGTAAGTCCTCCCGCATTCCAGGACATGACTCTCCAACGGCACGAAGGTGTCGGCTGCGAGGGATGGGTAGATGGAGTGACTGTGGATGCTGTCTGTTGTGATGTATCCCTTCGATGGTGTGCAGAGGCAGTGAAGGGAGAGTTGGTAGTCTCGGAACACCCTAAGGTTTGCAGGGTGTGCTGGCGTCCTCGGTACTTGGTAGTGCCGTAGAGCTTTGCTCTGTTGATCGCTCTGTGGTAAGAGCGTTTGCCTGTTCTGGTGAGCTGTGCGTAGACAGTTCGTGGGATGGGTTCCACTTGTTGACGATGACCGTCGATTTCACGATGCTTTGCAATGTGTTGTGAGCTTGTGCTGCATCTTGCAGTGTTTGCTCCAGCAGGTCTCGTGACTTTACCTGCAACCCACACGTCTGTGGAGACTCCTGTACAGAATTGTAGCCGTTGAAGAAACAAGGCACAAACGAGTGCTCCACTCCGGGACTTGGGACCCGGACGGCTCTCTTGATGGGGGGAGGGGGGGGGGGGTAACATAAAGATCTCGTGTTAAGGCGGGAATGGAGCTGCGATGAGTATGCTGGTTGACAGTAAACTCAGGTGTGGAAAAATACCTTTGCAACTGGTCTGCTAACAAGCATAGTGAAGGTATAGCATGCGGCCATAAGATGCGACTTGTTGCATTCAGCACCAGCACACTTCTCCTCC